CTACTGTAGTTTTGAGACCGATACGGTTGCAGTTAGTCATGTTTTCTTAATTAGAGACTGATACCTTTGGTTTTAAAAATCAATAACTGTTTGTTTCTCTTCTTATGGCCTTTGTCTTCCTCTTTCCATCCTTTTTATTAGGTTGGGTGTTGTTGGTGCAATGATTATCTCAGATCAAGGAGTCAACCAGAGGTAAGACTGTTCAAGAGTGTCGCAGTATTTGATAAAGACTCTTTAAGTCAGTCACGACAGTTCAGAGGTAGAACGTAACGTGTAGTTTTACGTTTGGTACTTCACATACTAAGTCAAGGTGTACTATTTAGAAACGCTGGCAACGTCAGTATTGTTACATTTTGTGGATTTGACTGTGGAAACCTTCTATATAGCTTTCCAATCATTTTTAACTGAATAGCTTGTAGACACTTCTGTTTTATTTATACAGTCAGAATCTTTGCTCAGAAAAGCTGAGATTTTGCAGGCTGAGATCTATGAAGCTTCTACGCTAAACTGGAGAACCCATATTTTCATCCTTTATCTTGCCAGCTTTTCAGAAGAATAACCTCTACTGTATATACGGCTTTCTCTGAGGATTCTTATAATTACAGACTAGTTACTGCTATTAATATTGCTCAATGTTTATCACTTACTGCTGGTTGAAAATAACCAAATGATAACCTTGTAGATCTGCCATAATTTTGATCAAATGATCGCTTAAATCGATGCTTCTTTCGTTCTTTTTTTTAAATATTGATTGAATATGTCAAGTTGTCAGCGTCACCACTGCGTTATTAATTTCAAGCGTACAGAAGATGAATTGACGGATGTGCCCAGGCTGATGCATATACAGGAGGCAGTTGAGGTTGGAAGCTGTAGATACAGTTTGTAATATTAATCACGAGATTATGATGTTTTTTTGGGCCAGTGTAACGTTAGTTAGACATAAGAGAAAATTGTCAAATTTGAATGCGCGACACAGTGTAACAGTTATTAAAAAAATCTTAAAAAAAAGAGAAGAATGTAGATACGGTCAAATCTGTATTCAACGGTCACCCTGTATGTCAAAAACCCGAGTTTATCCCCCCCCCCCCTTAATTAGTGTAATTTCCACCTCAATTAGGCAGTCCGGGTTGCCCTTTACTAAGTCCTAACGGCCTGTTTTGTGTTTTTTTTTTATCGTTTTCCACCTGTAATGAACGGTCACTGAAAGCTAGACAACTCAAAACCTTTCAAGTGATTTTCAATCTATGTTTCTCTCCCAAAGTCAAAGTAAGTAGTATTTTCGAGCGAGATTCTGTACATCAAGTGGTCAATTATTGCATAAAGTGGCGTTGTGTGTCGTTTAAAACCCCTTGCCTCAGGAACCGGTATCAAAGCGGCCAACGTGCTCCCGTGGGTGACCGCTTAACGCAGGTTCTGCTGTGGAAACAAAAGATGAATTCTGTATAGACCAGATGAAGCGTCCAGAAGACTTCTCAATTGTTTCCCTTTTTGCTAACTTAATTATTTTGAAAATTAGGATACAAGAGCTGAACAAGAGGAGCAAGTTGACACCCACCCCCCTGCTTTGTTACCGCGGGCCCCCCGTTCGATCCAGTGGGAGTTCCCAAAAGTAAGACTTCAAATTCGTGAAGTATTTGGCCAAGGAGCATTTGGACAAGTTGCTAAGGGACTGGCTTTTCGGATTGCTGGGAAAGCTAATTGGACAGTAGTGGCAGTGAAGATGCTAAAAGGTTAGCGAGTTCATAACGCTAGCATTTCCTTGGAGATATTGTGTACTTATTGTCTGAGTGGGAGGGACGGAGGAGTCCATAAATCATGATCGAAAGTCGGATACTTACTCATACAGGCCGACCTAACCCAGTAAAACTGAGATACTGTGAGTTTCTAGATCGGTTGCCATACAGACTCCACAAAGATATAACAAAATAACGGGAAAATTTGATAATGTTGCCACTCAAAATTTACGAAACGTCTAAATTTGGGAGTTTAGTCTCTTTAGGAGTCTAGTACCGAGATCCTACCGTGTTACTGTGATTGCCGTGAAAAGTCTGGGCACGAGACCATCCTTGCCCCTCTCTCCCCTCCCCGTCTGAACAGGATGTTTAAGGGATAGAGAACCGTCAAATCGTTTATCTATCAGCGCTTTGGTAGTGTACATGCACATGAATAACAAATCTTAGTCTCTATCTTTCTTTAGAGGATGCTTTGGAGTCTGACAGACAAGACCTTCTGTCAGAGCTATCGATCATGAAGAAACTCCCATACCATAGACATGTTGTGAGGCTTCTGGGCTGCGTCACCACATCTGGTATATATACACATATATGTATAGCCCTGTAACCTTTGTTCTTACAACGGAACAGCCAGGCTAGAAACTTGCAAAACAATTCTTTATTTTTACCCCGTAAACTACATGCACCGGGAACGTAAAGATTTTTAAAACCTGGTATTTGGAAAGCAAGGGTTCGAACCTAGACGAGCCCCATGGAAGCCTTTTTTCACCACGACTGGCTGTAATGCCGCAATCTGATTGGCCAATTTTCTGTTGAAGACAAGAGTGACTACGGATAATGCTACTCGCATCAACGTGACATGCAACGTGTCATGCAATAAAAGAATCGTTTTATTTGATGTCAATATTGTGGTAGAAAAATGTGTTGCGGACTCACTCGGCTGCGCCTCGTAAGTCTATAACATTGTTACCACGCAATACAGTTTACACTAGTACAGTTACTGACGAATACAGTTGTCGACAAGAGTATAGACCACGCTAAACTACTCTCGATTTGTTAGATTCCATGTTTTAAGCATCCTTTTTTTGCAAATTATCCCTGCATGGCGTTAGGGACTAAGCACTTTTACATCTCCAGACATTTCTTGAATGGCCGAAAGGAATATGCAAATCTCCATAAACCTATAATGGTTTATGACCCCGTGATGCCCAGCATTTTTCTTTAACCTTTGATGTAAATTTATCTGATACAATAGCTAATCCTTTGGTGATTGTGGAGTTCGCCTCTCATGGCGATTTGCTGGGCTATCTTCTCAAGAGTCGAGGTCTACCTGACACGTATTACAACACCTGTAGAAAACTGACTAGGGTCACCGCCAAGAAACTGATGATGTTTGCGTGGCAAATTGCTAGCGGAATGAACTTCCTCAGCGGAAATAAGGTGAAAAATAACGTTGATGAAAAATGAGCCTTTACATTTCGGGAAGATGCTTCATTACTTTATTCACAGAGAACTCTAAGTTGATCTGAGTCATATACTTGACCCAGTGATAACAGGCATCCTGTGATGACGATGATAACAATAATGATAACAATAGGCCCTATTTATAAAGGGTAACATTTGACAGTAGTAGACACAATGATAAACTCCTGGCCCACATTAATGAAACAAACATAATGAAAAACCTCAACTGGCAGACTAGTTGGTTGTAAACAATCTTGATCGCGGAGCTGAACCCTGGACTATCGGGAAACAAATCCATCTGGTATTCAGAAAAGGATTCGAGCCAGACACCCTTGAGCGTGATGCTCTTACCATTTGAATTCGCTGCCTCCCCTCCCTGGTGCACATTGTAAGGATCAGTAAAGTAGAAGGAGTGACATCTGGTCAGCTGGGTAGAAACAGAGCTGGTTAATTTTGAACCATAACCGGGTTTTTCAGTCAACAGGAAAATTCCTTAATCTTAAAAGATCAGCGTCTAACAGTGCTTGGAAGAGGGGTCAAATGATGCAATATTTGACAACAAAATACATTTTTGTTTCATTCTTTAGGTTGTTCATCGTGATTTAGCTGCCCGCAATGTTCTGGTTGCAAATGGTAATGTTTGCAAAATCACGGATTTTGGAATGGCCAGAGATGTGCAAGGGAGTGACATTTACACGATGAGAGCAGGGGTAATCGATAAAAATCCAATCGGTTGATTCTAGTGCGATGACAGTACGAACGAGTGTATAAGTGTCCTATCATCTCGCACGTTGGCCTTAGTGCGGGACATTGGGCTAGAAAGACCTGATTTCTCAAACAGGTATTCTTAGTTTAAGTGAAATCAAATTCCTGTGTCTTCTTCACATTAGGGGCGGATACCTGCGAAGTGGACAGCTTATGAGGCTCTTTCGTATGGCATCTACACCACTCAGAGCGACGTGTGAGTTTTAATTTTATATTTAGTAATCTCAAGCTTTGTTCTAATTAAGCACGTATCAAGATTACGACATCGACTCACTATAATGCCAGATAATACACGCTCAAAATTTATGTAGAGGACAACGACGTCTGCGTAAGAGATAAATAACACGTAATGCCATCAAACCAATAATGTGAGAGACCCACTCGTTTTTAAGTAAAAAATTCTTTCCGTTTATGTTAATAACCAAATAGCCGGGGCCATTGATCGCATGGTTGAAAGTAAGCTACAGATGCATAATATGGCCCGGCGCAATATTGCATAATGCAAATGGTGTGATGGTGTAAAATAAAATACCTGTGAGGTGTTGTTGCTTCTGTTCGAGTATGTCTTAGCTCTTATTGATATCAAGATTCATTTTACGTGCCATAAAGGTCCGTATTTGGTTTGGTGGTTCTGTTACTCATTGGATTCGTCTTTCCTCAGGTGGAGTTATGGAATCGTCTTGTATGAAATTTTCACTTTAGGTGAGAAGGCTCACAGAAAAAAAA